CATAACATTATACTCATATATATATATATATATATATATATATATATTATTTTTACTTTATTGACCTTTCAGCCATGTCCGACTAACCTTACAGGATAATGGTTGGAGACGGCTTGAATGGGTAATGAAGAAAAACTTTAATATAAGTTTAACATAACAGCAAATGTACAACGTTTTGACAAAGTTACTTGTACCTGATGATGACAAAACCTTGTCGAAACGTTGTACATTTGCTGTTATGTTAAACTTATATTAAAGTTTTTCTTCATTACCCATTCAAGCTGTCTCCAACCATTATTAGTCTCAAAGTGGGTTCCTCGTCATCGAATTTAACCTTACAGAAGTTGCAATGATGTGGCGCACGTGCACTCATGTTACCCAAGAACATAAAACTGGCCTTTACAAAGTGACCTGTCTTGGCTGTGTGCTAGTGGACAAATGTTTTGTAAAATACAGTCACATTTCAGTCATAACACATTATACATGTATATACATTATTACTATTTACAAATAAGTTAATAAATTTCAGATATTTTTATCAAAATATAGAACATTAAATAAAGAAGTATAGAAAACATTATCTCTACTAGTTACGACATTTATACTAATTTTCTTCTTGCTGTAATTTGTTAAGCCTTATCAAATTTTCCCGAGGGAGAACGTGAAAAAAAAAACTTTTTTTAGGTTTTTTATATATGCATTTTTAAATAACAAAAAATCATAAATTACTATATCAATCCCACTATAATTTATCAAGCTTAGTAGCTTAGCTGTATTTGGGTCTAAAAATATAATTTTTCAAGCTCACTAATGTCTTACCTTACTGCTTGGAATCTAACATGAAAAAAAAAGGGTTTCTAACTTAGATACTTCGTAGGTGCTGAGAAAACCACTAGGGGGAATTCTGACCTTTCAATTTATTATACAATCAAGGTGTATGTAAGCAAGTATTTTCAAAAATGGAAGAGGTGGGCGGGGCCACCTTGGTTGATTCACTAAATATATTAAAATCTCAGAAAACAGAAAAGATAGGAGGTTCTTATCTTTATTATAGCTTGCCAATCAGTAATTTGAGTTTCTATTTCAAAAGAAACTATAGACTTAGTATTTTGACTTCAAAAACATCTAATTTGAACCAATGCTGCATTCAACATCCCACGTGACACACAAAAATTTATATTTAGGATTTTT